CACCCCGCCCCGCCGCGCTGTCGGTGCCCCGGCCGGCTCAGGCTCAGCCGCGGAGCCGCTGGCACGGACCGACCTCCAGGTGCACAAGGTCGTCCTCTGCTCCTGCAGCTCTGTCTCCGCCCCTCCGCCCATCCCCTCCTCTCTCTCTCTCTGCCTCTCTCTCTCTCTCTCTGTCTCCCCCCTCCTCTCCGCCTTTCTTCTTCCGTACTTCCCCTACTCTCAGTGCATCCCCTACTACCGCCGTCGCCGCCGCCGCGTCTGCATACGTGTGTGAGTGTGTGTGTGTGGAGTGAGTGTGTGTGCGTGTGTGCGTGTGCGTGTCTGTGAGTTTGCACTGCGAGAGGGCGGTGGACGCGGGCGCCGCCACAGTTGATAAAAATGATCTCGCGACATTGGGCCGGTTCAGTTGTCGAGGGAGCAGTGCCGCGCGCGAATGTCCGACGACGACACGAGGCGGTGTCCGAAAGACCGACCACCACCACCACCACCACCACGCCGACGACGACGACGAGGTGCCGTAGTAGTGTGAACGCGACCACAACAACGCCGTCCGTGACCGCACACCCTCCGCCCTCCACCGCCAGGCCACCGCGGCGACCATAACCTCCGCTTAGCCGGTCGGCGCGCGCGTGCGCGTAGGGCGGCCGTAGGGCGGCGAGCGCTCGTCTGTGATTGGTGGCCCCTCCGGATTACACGCCCAGGGCCATCATTGCCTCCCCGTGGATCGAGTCTGACGGTAAGTCGTGCGCGTTCGTTCGCTCGTTTGTTCGCTCGTTCGTTCGTCCGCGCCCCCGCGCGCGGCCGCTGGCGCAACAGCTGGAGTGTGACAGTGTGTGTGTGTGTGTGTGTCGTCTCCAAGTGTGTGACACAAACTACAGTGTAATGTGACGACGGCTCTAGAGTGCGTTAACGCGTCCAATATGGTTGTCAGACATACCTCTGTCTGACGTGTGTTTAGTAGGTGATGATTATTTCGCGCGCGTATTCACATGATCGTCACACGCTTTGGCGCTGTCACAGTGTCTTCCTTGTGACGTACATGTCACGACGTCGTGACTTGTTGGTGTTCCTCACGAAATGGCGTGTCACACCTCCGATGAAACGGTATCGTCGCTCTTCGCATGACATTGTATATTTGTGTTGTATAGCAGGCCCTACATGGTTTTTCCGTGGACTTTTCTGTTCGCTTAGTTTGTTTCTTTCGTGGAGTGTGACTGAGGTCGAATTAGTGCCGGTATAGTTCTCGGGGTGGGAAGGTGGGAGAAGGGTGCAAGTGGGGGAGGAGGGGGGAGGGTTCTTTTGCGGCCCTCCCTTACTAACTTTACAAAGTAGACTTCTTTAACGGTCAACGTTTGGTGTCCACGTGCGTACAAGTCTCCGCCGTCAGTGATTGACTATACACTATCAGTGATTGACTGCACACTATCAGCGATTGACAGTATACACTGCCAGTGATTGACAGTTCACTCTCAGTACACCCCAGGTCCTGGCGAGTGCCGCAAACTAAAACCAACCCAACAAGTAGTGTACGTGTACAAGACTGCTCAGTCTTTTCGATCACCCCCTCCGGTGTCGTCCTGGCGGTCCCTACCCACTCTAGCGTTGTCCCATTGTCTTGGAATAAGTACGACCGTGCAGTGTGTACAACACTCGCAGGGCCAGGCGATCACTGAGCTCGTTTTTATTATTTCGAGTTGCCCGTCGCACGCTTATGTCTATTGATTCTGTACCGGAGACGTCGGGAATCGAATAATTAACATAACTTGTTGCGTATGACTCTACTAAGTCGTTTGCACATTAGTGCATAATTGACCTTGTGAAAATGTAACAAATATCCTGAACCTGGGTACCCATTTGAATCTTAAGGCCCTACATAGTATCGGTGCTAATTTGTAAAACAGTACGGGATCTGGAGTGGTTTTTCAGTAAGCCCTTTAATTAATGGTGTCTGCCAATGATTGTAGTACAGGGGTGAAACGGAAGAGGTTTTTATTGTGAATGGATTCCTTTTAACATGATTAGTTGTTCTTTCTTGAGGGGTAGACAGACACGTGCAGTCTATTTTGCGAAACACATTATCCTACTCCGTTCGGATGTCGCACAAATATTTATTTGTAGAGTTGTGACAGATCTAGAAATCAATGCAATTATCTGCTCACTTTACATGCATGCGCCGTAATGCGCATGACAATGTGACAACGGAAACCACTTAATGTCACTTTGGCGGGAGATAAGAACACCGAACACAAACAGAGATTTTAGCCGTATCTAGAAAAAAAACCTTGTTAACCAAAAGTTCAAGCTTTTTATATGCTTTTTATACATGAACTGGCCTGCCTGCTACTGGGTGATTCTGCCAAAATGGCAGGGGTCCGTGTCCGCGAAAATTTTTTGTCTCACCCTTACCTAATTTCAGCGTTTTCTTCAATACCAAATGATGGCAAGGGTATTTCACTTTTCTAGATGTTTACTTTTGTATCATTTTCACTATTTCAATCAACAACCAGCTACACATAAGTATTTTGGCCAAAAAGGTCTAATATTGTAACCATTGTCACGCTGTCTTGAGCGTTGGACGTGACAAGTAGGGACTATTTACGCTCGTACCTATGCTAGGTTTCTTAGAGTACAGCTACCCTCACTATGCAACTAATAACTGACGTGTCACATCGAAACTTCTACCGCTTCTAGGAAGTCGCCATACGTGGCTTTTGAACTTGCCCGCCTTTTTTTTTGTTATCTTGTCTCTCGCGCCAAGTCTGCTTGCACACTCTGCCGTGACGTGGGGAGGATCACGCTCGGAAGTAGTCGGGAGGGGGAGGGGGGGCTCGCTCCGGGCGGTGGCTGCGGGGGAGTGGATGTGGAGGGGGCCGGGCCGGGTGGGGAGGGGTGCCCCCTGCCCCCTCCCCCGGGGTCTGGGGACCACTGGGGACTGACTGCACGCAGTCCTCGTCTCAATGGGTCGACGAGTGCCATGGAGCTCCCCAGACTCCGTCAGCAGGTACCCGTGCAGCGCTAGCCCCGCGTCGCTCTCGCTCCAGGATGCGACGACGCCTGTCCCGAAGAGAACCATGTAGGAGGCAAATAGATTTTTGAAACTAGAGATTGGGCAAATTGGGTTTTGAATCGTCTAAAGTGTGAATCAAACAGGCCGTTTTCTTGAGAGAAGCAGAGGTTTTCGACATGTGAGATCCTCATCTTATGTCTGGTTCAGTTGTCATGTGCATGTGCCATCCCCTCCGATAGGTGTCATTTCACTTCGTACGAAACAAATGGGCCATATCGAACAAAGAAGCCTCGACAGTGCACATGTGGTGAGCAAAACAGAAGGTACTTGAAATCATTGCGCATTTTCTTAAAACAAGTACATATGCACCCGAGTAAGCCGAGTTCATGCACTTACTTGTTTCGAGAAAACGCACTTGATTTCGAGTACCTGCTATTTAGGATGCCGATACCGCGCACATGCACGCACTTGAATGGCATTCTGACTGTTGTGTCATACTTTTTATCGCGGAAGGTCAAATTGCCCCCATTTAATTTTTTTGAGCGTTCTAATTTGAGCCGCACACCGTGCGGTGGCGCCCAAGTAGTGTCGGCCGGGCCTGCACGCAGGTCGTTTAGAGAGTGAACGAAGGACAGTTCGACGTCGTTAAGGCTGCCCGGGGGCCCCTTTTCCTTTATGACTCGTTGAACGACTGCCGGGCGTTATGGGTACCGAGCTCCTCGCCGTTGAGGAGTGTGTCCTGACCTTACTCAAACGGGAGCAAAAACTGCACCGATTCAAAACATTGGCGTTATGTGTTTGGGCCTTGCTCGCAAATACCCATGTTCCTCCACGCACCATCGAAAACTTACGTTGCTACAATTTGGGTAGTCATTTTTTTCCACCGCACATCTCGTGTAAAAGACAGAGTTTTCAATATAGGAAATTGCTAGTAGGTCATAAATTCATCCGCGTATGTGACATTTCTCAGATGAGATAACTTTACCACGTTGTTACGTTTACTTCCATAATCGACCGCAATAAGCTTGACGGGCAGGCCGTGGAAAAAGTAGCCCACCTCTTAAAAATCACTGCTGGAAATACTTGTGTAAATACTTAGTCCCGGTGACAAGAGTTTTGCGTTTTCGTTCCGCAGGAGATGATCCGTTTGTAACCAAGATGGTCCTGAAGAACTTGGGCAGCGCAGAAAGCATGACGGTCGGCTGCCTCGACTGGGACCGGCTTGCGGACCGGCACGCCAGGGTGTCCCGCGCCTCCAGGACGTCGACGACGTCACCACCATGCTGGCAGGAGCGCGTGCAGGACTACCACCACTACCACCGCGACGCGGAGAGGTCGGCCGCCCGCGCCGAGAACCTGCGGAGGAACCTGCCTTCGTTTAGAGGTGAGTCTGCGGCCGCGCCCCGCCCCGCCCCGCCACGCCTGGCCACACCTCGCCACGCCAAGGTGGTGGGTGTCAAGATAGGGGCTGGAGGAGGGTTATCGTCGGGGCGTTCACTCCCGTGGCACATGCATAATTTGAGCATAGAGCATAGACCAGTTAAGGGGGAATTCATTTTAAAAAAAAACTAATTTTATGAATGATTTAAATTCTCCTTGCTGTTATTTTTATGGGGTAAGTGAACAGGAAAAGTTCGTCATTAGGATGGGGACGATGTGATTTTTTACAGCCCTGTAACCCCCCACCCCCTACCCCCCTTCTATAACCCTTTAACTAGGTTTCAGGGTTTATAGTGGGGGCTGCAGACGCTGCAAAAAAGAGTAAAATGTGTTCCATTCGATGACACATTTTTTTATGGACTCCAAATCGCTTCCATATACATACATACATACCCTTGGCTACAATTAGTTGTGCGTTGACGGAAGTAAATCAGTACCTCCGCCCT